GAACTACAAATTGATAGCAAACTGTTGGGAAAGTAATTTGTCAATGTTTTTAAGAGCCTTAAAAACATTCATACCATTTGTCTTAGTGCATCTACTCTTGAGAAACTGCCTCAAGAAAAGAATCTCTGAACAAACCCATGCTCAAAAATTCTAAGATATTTTTATAGTATTTTATTCCTTCACTTTTTATAGCAAGGAATTTGGGGTAATTTAAGTGTCTGATAAAAGGAAAATGGATAAATATATTCATTCAAAGGAATAGTAGCACTCAAGATATTTTGGAGGATATAAGAGAAATATATAAGGGAAAATACAATGCAAAGAGCACAAGCCTTAGAATTCATGTGTGAGTTTAAATATGCCCAGAGGACTCTCAGGATGGCTCGGGATGACAGTAAAGTGCATGCTGTACAAGCCTGATGGCCTGAGTTCAGTCCCTGGAACTCCTGTAAATGTGGAAGGAAAGAACTGACTCCACAGTGTTGTCTTCTCAGCTCCACATGAATGTTGTGGCACACACATCCTATCATGCCATACATACACAATGATATGTGTATAATAATAAATACATTCTAAGAATTCCTTGTTGGGCCAGCCATGGCAGCACACACCTTTAATTTCAGCAGGCAGATCTCTTCGAGCTTGGAGCCAGTCTGCTCTAAGTAGTGAGTTCCAGGACAGCCAGGGCTACATAGAATGCCCTTGTCTCAAAAAACAACAAACAAACAAAAACCTACTCCCTTGTTGGAGACTGGAGAGATGGCTCAGCAGTTAAAAACACTTGTTCTTGCTGAGGGCCCGGGTTCTGTTCCCAGCACCCACAATTCCAGGGTATCCACCACTTTCTTACTACCTAATCAACAGGCACACATGTGTCACACATACAACATACCTTCAGGCAAAACATTCATACACATAAATCTTTAAAAAAAAAAAATCCCTGTGGATGTGTACCTCCGTGGTAGAATGCCTGCAAAGGGCCCCAATTCCATCACTGGCATTTGAAGAGATGGGGGTGGGCCAGGGACTCCAGTGCTCTGCTAAGTTCTGGTTATCTTCCAGACCCTTTATTTAAAGTCATACTTCTGAGCATCCTGATTTTGGCAACAGATAAGGGTCTCTGCAATCCTTTGTCATTTGGTTATTAGGAAGCTGTGCCATTATTACAGTTGGATAAATGGATATTTAGATTATTATGGTATCTCGCATAGTTTGATTAATATAAGTCGATTCCCCAGAGCTCAATTCTTGTTGGTAAGTGAGATAAAATCAGTTTTGAGCTTATAACTGTGAAGTCCAGACTCACTAACTTATCAAGACAGAGCAGCATCCTGGAGTATTGCTGGAAACACCAGCAGTTCAGCAGTGCAGCACATTGGTTAGCGGCCAAGGGAGAAAGGGAAAATGAAAGAGATAGAGCCATAGTTTTATGTAATAAGCTGGTCTTTGAGTTAAGACAGGAGGAAGAGGAGCCGGAGGAAGCAGCAACAGCTAGAAACTGTTCATCTTTCCTCAAGCAGCAAATGCTTGCTGCTCATAAAAATCCAATTCTCCAGTTCTTTTGTAAACCTTCCTCGAAGTGTTTTCTGGCTAAGTATATTCACTAAATGTTTGGTTCGCAATCAGCATCTTTAGGTGTGTTACATAATTATGTAACCAGGCTTTGCACTTCACTCATTTATTTTTAATAATACCTCTTTATTCAGATATAATCCACCCATTAGAGTGTATAATGAGTTGTGCAACCATTACCACAGTCAATGTTAGAACATTTTCATTACCCCAAAAGGAAATCCATTAGCAGTCACTTCCTGTTTCCCCCAGAACTCCAGCCCCAGGTAACCACAGGTCTGCTTTCCGTCTTCGAATTTGTGCAGCTTTTGCCGTTGACCTTCCACAGCCCAGCATAGTGTCTTGAAGGTTCGTCAGTACTGTGATAATACATCAGTACTTCATTTCTTTTTACTTTTCCTTTTTTCATTTATTCTTTGAGAATTTCAATCATGTATGCCTTTATTTTTTAATATTTATGTATCTGTTTAAGTGTGTGGATGCTTTGTTTGCCTATGTATCACTTGGGTGTGTGGCACCCACAGAAACCAGCAGAGGGCAGCAGATCTCCCGGAACTGGAGTTCCAGGCAGCTGTGAGCAGGGCTGTGGGCTCTAGGAATGAAACATGGGTCCTCTGGAGGAGCCAGTGCTCCTTACTCCTGAACCTCCTCTCCAGCCCCGTATTTTTACTGATTTTTGCTTTTAAGAGCGTATCACATGTTTGCCCGTTCATCTGTTGATGAACACTTACTGTTCCTGTGTATGTATGTGTGTGTGCATGCGCGTACACTCCTATCAGAGTGATAAAACTCTGGCTAACACCCAGAGGCACGACAACTGTTCCATGTGACTGTACCGTTTCACCATTCCAACAGGTATACTGTGTTAGCTGGCATGGAATAGATCTCATTTGGTTTGGATTTGTGTCTCCTGATGACTGATGACATTCGGTGCTTTTCACGTGCCTTTTAATTTTTTTTTTAATTTGGTTGTTTGTTTTTTTTTTTTTTCATTACAGAATTATAAAAGCTTTTTATATGTGAGACAAAGTCACAGATATTTTCCTGTCTCTGGTGTGTTAGCTTTCCATCACTGTGATAAATTTCTAAAGACAAACGTTTTTTTTGAAGGATTTCTTTTGGCACACAGTTTCATTCCATTGTCAGTTGGCCACATCACTGTGAGGCTGTGAAGCAGCGTCATGGCAGAGGTAGCATGGGACAAAGGAGGCTTGTTCTCTGATGGTGGCAGGATCCGTCTCAGGGCATGCCCCCAGTGACCTGTGTCCTTCGGGTAGCCTACCTTGTAAAGTCTTTCATCTGGCCACTATGAACCCATCAATAGATTAGCCCTGTGATGAGGTCAGGGCATACTTATCATGGTCCAACCACTTCCCCAAAGCTTCATCTCTGAACATGGCTGCACTGGGCACAAAGCCTTGTATCCAAAACCAGAGCATGGAGCTTATCTTCACTTCCTTTGCAGTATCCTTTAAAGCAGAAATGCTTTGATTTTTATGAAGCCAAATATTTTTTTTTCTTGGTGTTATATCTTATAAACTCTTGTCTGATTCAAACCTTCAAGATTTATACCTTTTTTCTACTGAGTTTTAGCATTCCAGCCCTGAATGTTTTAATACCTGCTCTCTCCTCCGTCTCCTTCTCTTTCTCTCTTCCTTTCCTCCACCGCCCGTGTGTGTGTGTGTGTGTGTGTGTGTGTGTGTGTGTCTGTCTGTGTGTATGTGTCTCTCTGTGTGTGTATACAGCTAGGACTAAAGTCCAGGCCTTGCTAGGCAAGTGCTCTGACCTAGAGCTGCATCCCAGCCTTGAGTTAATATGTTTTCTTAGTTTTTTATAATATGTATATGTGTGTCAGTATGCTTATGCCACATGTGTGAGGGTACCAAGGAGGCCAGAAGAGGGTATCAGATTCCCTAGAGCTGAACTTGCTGGGCATTCCTCCCACCATGGGAGCTGAGAATCAAACTGGAAAAGTAGGAAACATTCTTAGCCATTTTGCCCTGTCCTCAGCTCCTGAGTCAGGTTTTATAAATAAGTTCTTCGCTTTCACCTGTGAGTACCCATTGCCCTGGTTTGTTAAAAATAAAATCATTTTCCCCCTATTGAATTATCTTACATTCTTATTGCAAATCAAATGACTACAGAGGTGAAAGTTGTCGTCTGGATTCAATATCTATTCCATTTACCTGTCCATCTCTGCATTTATATTTTCTTCCATTCATTCTGCAAAGAATACTGGACACCTCTATATACCAAACATTGTGTTCGACATTCCCATGACACTTGCTTTGGGGAACCAAACTATCCCTCTTCAAAGCCCATGTTTCTTTTTAAAAAGTCCATTTTTAGCATGATATAGCATCTGTTAAAGAGTTGTGAAGTGGTTTCCTGTTGTAGCCAAGGCTGTGGTGACAATTGTAGCTCCATCTAGTTTGTGCCTGGTCTTAGCCAAGTTGTAGTTTGTCCTGCTATACAAATGTTCATAAGACTGTGTTTTAGGGAGCTCGAAGAATAGAGCTGGTGCAGGATAGCCCAGTGACCGTGTTGAAGATGAGGCTGGCTTTAAAGCAGACACTGACTGGGATGAAGGCTCCAGTCAGGTGCAGAATTCCTCATGTTCAACCTCAGGGGTCTAGAAAGTAAGAATAGGCATTGGCAGCAGTGATGTCGGAGGGAATCAGAAGTGCTGCTGGCTTCCAAATTTTATTTTAAAAGCAGTTCCATGTTCGTTTAAAGTCACAAAGAGAAAAGGGTGTTTCTAGATCCTGGTTTATTCGGAGGTTTGTTTTAAAGAGTTAAAGGAAACAAGAATGCTGCATGACTTTGGTGGCTTGTGTCTTGGTAGGGGTTATGGTTGTAGCATTTGAAGCTTGGAATTTGATGATTATTTAAAATAAAATTGTTCTGGTGTCATAAGCTGAGTGCACTAGCAGATAATTGGGCTTATGCTTACAGTAAACAAGGTAAGAAAAATCTTTTTAAAGATAATAAACGTTGGTTTTGCTAGGCTTGTTGGCAAACATTCATGTTTGATATCCAGGAACTTTCAATGCTTGTTAAACACCAGCAGGACTGATTTCCTGCTCATAGTTGCTTAGCCATCATGAAAGCCATGGTAGAAAATGAACCATCAGTGTTTCCCAGGTTAATGGTTGAGTGGTGGGTTTTATTTTTTGTTTTGTTTTCTCTAAATAAGTTAAATATCCTATAGTCAGTTTCCTCAATTGTCATGAACAATGTTACTGCTTTGAAGCAGGAAAAAAGTTTTCAGTGTGAATATATTGCCAGACTTAATCTCTAGCAGCATAAATTTTAGTTGCTAGAGTTGGTGTTGACTATAAACATTTAACTTTGAAAGTTGTAGAAAACATTTTATGTGATAAAACTTAGTACAGTGCATTTATTTACACATCCTAAATTTCTTTCAGGAATTGTGCCATCTTCTGTTGTCCTGACTTCTTTCCAGGTGATGTCAAGAGTTTTCCTAATATGGGCAGTAACACATAGTGTCAAAGAGGTAAGTAACATAAATGTGAGCACCAACAGCCGCCAGTGAGCTCTCCTGCACATGCTTGTTATGGCTGAAGACAGAACTCCAGTCATCGCAAAACAGCCAAGTTAGGGTTGATGTGGGGCCAGAAGAGAAACCTACCCCCAGTCTGCACTGTTGCTCAGTAAAGATCTGTGTGAGAGTTAGGACCTGCAGTCTTGGCCCCTGTGGAGGCGGGGTGTGCATCCCCACCTCAGTTGTGTACCTAGTGTCTGTCCGTAGCCAGTGTGTGGGAGAGAAAGGGGAACAGTGACTCGCTGTTGGAGCACTTCTGTTTTCATGGGACCAGGAAGAGCAAACTTGTTTCCAGCCCCCCAGTCAGGGCTAACGCCATTGCCTGCCATAAGTGCCAGGTAGGGATGGCCAGAACCAGGAAGAGAAAAACCCTCATTCCCTCAGGTGTGAATCCATAACCAAGAGTTGGTTTGGTTTCACGTTGTTTTGATTGTGCTGTTCCAGTGTTAGTTGTTTCTCGTGTCACCGGGAGGGAGAGTTTTGACAAGGCTTCATCCTCGCTTACAGTTTCTATAACCTGTTAGCATCACCATGGATTCCTGGGGCTCCAGAGACTGCTTATCTATTAACGCTAATCTTGTGCATTCTTGTCTTTTATTCTGGAATCCCTATTAAAACTTAGTGTTTGTCAGGATTTATATTGTGTCTCAACTAATGAGGCTTTTTTAAACCATTTTTTTTTTAAATTGGCCCATGACATCCATGTAAAGTGCACGTAGCCAATGAATCCTTAGCCAAGTTTAAACAACTTAGATTAATAAGCTATCGTTTGGTTATATTCACATGGAACTAGCAGGTCCATAGATTTTACTTTTTAATCAACTTTCTCTCATTCCCTGAAGATTTCTAAACTTACTATGCAGGAAGAATGCAAAATAATTGCATACCTACTTTTAGTAATCACATTTTAAAAAGTTGGAACAGGAAAATAAAACTTTGTTCTCATTCTTCTGAACAGAGTTAGAAAAGTTGGGTTGCTTATAATACCACATGGAGTCCTTTTTTTTAAATTAGTTTTTATTTTGGCTTTTCAAGGCAGGGTATCTCTGTGTCTCCTTGGCTGTCTTGGACTCACTTTGTAGACCAGGTTAACCTTAAACTCAACAGAGATCTGCCTGCCTCTGCCTTCCAGAGTATTGGTTCACAAAGAGTCCTTTTTACACATATTTTTAATGTATATTTTTTCCTCCTATACTTTTGGTTTACACTATAGTTTTTTCATTGTAACCAATAACTCCTAATTTTATTTGCCAATATTTACAAGTAACCTAAAATGTTTCCTAGTTGTAACTCAGTTGTATTATTTTTTTATTATTATTCCTTTTTTTCCACCAATGCTAGGAATTGAACACAGAACCTTGTGCATGATAAACAAACATTCTACCACTCAGCCACATCCTCAGCCCTATTTTTCACATTTTTAGTTTGGGGTAGAGGCTTACTAAGTTACTCATGCCACCCTTGAATTCACTCATCCCACATAGGCCATGAACTTAACTATGATCCTGGGCTTAAGGCCTGAGCAGTTAGAATTACCAGCCTGCACCCCAGGCCCAGCTTCTTACTTGCATCCTAAATGGGTAATTACTTGGATTCAGTGATGAGGTGCCTGAAAGCGTGTGGAGCCAGAGCATTGTCCAGTAGGGGCTGCTCCGTCACTTCTCCAATACAGTCAGATACTGATTCTTTCAGGTGCCGGCACCTCGCCGCTGCAATGGCCACTCTTCTGCTTAGTAACATGGCTGCCAAGGCAGGTGGGCAAGCACCCAAAAACACTTGCAGTTCAAAGGAAACACTTCTGTTAGATATCCCGGACAGACCATTAAAACAGATTGCCTAAAAAGCTATTAAATGTCTCTGTGGATTACAGGTGCTAGACTTGGCCATCGGCTGCAGTTACCACACTGCCTGCCAGATGTGTAGACCTGACATTTAGCAGATGGCGTCACATTTGAGTGTTATTGCACACACTCATTACATATGCACACTCACAATTGTTTCTCTGCAGCCAAAGTGATGGGGTCTCTGCTAATATCAACATGCCGTTTTCAGAAGAACCTAGTGTAGTAAATTTCACACCTCACTGTCACCTCTTGGGTCCTCGTGTTTCCGTGTCCTTTCGTTTGGTGCACCTGATTGATTAGTTGACTTACTCTTTTCTTGAGTAAATAGAGTTCGGTATTTTTGCTGACCCGGGATCTCATTTCTTTTCTCTGGGCAGAACTACTCATTCATCATTTTGTTGACTCCAGTACATTTCCTCCTCCGCCCCCTCCCCCACCCCCAGGATGCCTGACAGCTAAGTTGAAAAGCCCGCTTCTGCATTTTCAGGAGCCAGGCTGCTTGCTGTCTGTCACCTGTTCTTTAAGTCCCATGTCTTAGCCAAATGCTATTTTCCTGTCTTAACGTTTCTTAGAAACTGTAATTCTGTTTGTTGTGTTCAACATTGCATATGACTTTCCTTCCATTTCCTGAAGCTTCTGGAAAATAGCTGTGTTTGTCCTAACCTGCTCTCTGGGCTGGACCTGTGGGAATTGTAACTAATGTATCAGTTTTTATACTTCTCAGTTTGTCACCTTCTTTCCAAAAGGGGACAGCAAGTAATCTACTTGTTTCAAAATTACATTCTCTGTGGGTTTAAGCTTTCTCTACCTTGTGTGCTCATTCACTCCAGTTGGGTTTTTGTTGTTGTTATTTTGTTTGTAGTTGTTTGTTTTTGGTTTTTTTTTTTTTTTTAAGACAGGGTTTCTCTGTGTAGCCCTGACTGTCCTGGACCAGGCTGGCCTCATATTTAGACATCTGCCTCCCTCCGCCTCCCGAGTGCTGAGATCAAAGGTGTGTGCCTCCACCACCCAGCTCGGTTTGATTTATTGTTTTGTTTTGTTTGTTTGTTTCCTATGATTTTATGTGATGTGCTAAGGTAGAGCTCATAAACCTTTCAAGGTCTAACTTCTATACTGAAGTGTGTGTTCTCCCTCCCTTCCTCCTTTTGCTTCCCTTCTTTAAAGACAAAACAAAACAAAAAAACAACAACAAACACAGGCTCTTAAGCAGCCCAGGCTGACCTCAAGCTTAACTCTGTGCAGGGGTTGGCCTAGAATCTCTGATTCTCCTGCGTCCAACTCCCGAGTGTGCCAGCATCCAGCTTGAGGTGTTTTCCTTTAAGAGGCCTTATAAGACATGCACCCTCCACCTGTGGGACACCAGCCACGTCAGTGCTGTAATGTACATTGTGGAACTAAAGGTGATCAGAGAGTTTTCTCTCGCAACATAAGGACCCGCTCTTCCGTTTGTGACACCATAGTAATAAGGATGTTGGGCCTAGTGGTGCTGACCTTTAAACCCCAGTACTTGGGAGGCAGAGGCAGGCTGATTTCTGTGAGTTTAAAACCAGAGAGACCCTGTCTCAAAAAAAAAGTGTCTCACCTAGTGTAGCAAATATTCTTCCTGAGTTTCCTTTTAAAGAGATTGTACCTGTGAACAAAGAAAATTGGGCACAACAACCAGCTTGAGGTTGGAAGGGAGTTACAGGAGGCAATCCACAACTCTAGCTGACGTACTTCCTGTCCAAAGTTTCCTCCTGTCTCAGGTCTGAACTGATATGACTGACTCCGTATCTGGCCTCTGCCGGGACTTGATGCCTGACTCTGGGTGTGAGTGTGCGTCTTCTCATTGAACTGCGTCAGGACCAGCCTCTTTAAGATGAAGTGCAATGGGCAAGGGTTTACTTCCTGCTTCTCATCATGACTCCCCCTCAGGCATTCCCACAGTCCAGCTTCATCTATGCCAGTGGTTCTCACCTTATTAACGCTGCGACCCTTTAATACAGTTTCTCATGTTGTGGTAACCCCAGCCATAAAATATTTTCATTGCTGTTTCATAACTGATTTTGCTACTTTTATGAATCATAATGTAAATATTTTTGGAGTCAGAGGTTTGCTAATGGGGCCACGACCCAAAGGTTGAGAACCGCTGATCTAGACAGTTCCTCACTAAGACTCTCCTCGGGGGATTCTAGGTTGTATCAAGTCAGCAAGTGAAGTTAACTAGTAAACAAGGTCTCCTGTCTCCCAAGCTGACCTTGAATTCCCATGTAGCTGAGGACGCCCTTAAACTCTTATCCTTCCATCTTCCTTGTGAACTATGATCCCAGGTGTATGCCACCGTGCCTGCTTTTATACAGTGCTGGGGAGTGAGCCCAAGCCTTCAGGCATGGTGGGCAAATACTCTACTCACCGAGCTAAATCCCCAGTCCGACTTCTCAAGTTCTGTTACTGCCCTCAGAGCTCATGGATGAACCTTCTCCAATTCATTGGCTTAACCTGCTTTACAGTACTAAGACTTTTTACAGTGAGGATTCATGTACCATTTGGACTGTAATTACCAAGAATGTTTATTATAAAATGCAAATTTCAGGTCCTACTCCATACTTGATAAAGGATATCTGGGAGGAAGGCCACAGAATGAACGGTTCTCAGATAATCTTATGAATTCTGAGCTTTGAGAAATGCCTTTAAGATACCTGTGTTCTATAGTCTCACCTTTCATCTCAGTTCTCATTTCCAAATCCAAGAGCCCTAATACATTCTTAGTTTATTTTTTCACATATTTATTTATTTTTTTAAAAGAGAAATTGATCAAATACACTGTAAGGGGTCAGCAGGCTGGGCAGTGGCTGGAGTACCATTGGCAGTCTCTTTCTCTCTCTGTGTGTTTTTTGTTTGTTGAGACAAGGTTTTCCTATGTAACCTTCACTGTCCTGGACTTGGCTTTGTAGACCAGGCTGGCCTCTGCCTGCCTTTGCCTCTTCCTGAGTGCTGGGATTACAGGCATGCACTGTCTCTTCTTTTTAAAGCTTGGGTACACACTTTAAATATAAAGATAGATATTTTTAAATGCTGTGTTTGAAACATACTAGACAAACTATTTTTTAGATCACAACATTTCTAGTG